CAGTGCTGCAAAAGTGGTCTTTTGCATTGTGATTGTTGTTTCGCTTGCACTCATTGTTGTCTGCAGCCGTACACTTATCAATTTGTCTTTCCGTGGTTGCGTTGTCATGGCGTGGCTGGAATGGTGTCCGGACCCTCAACAACCAGATGCCCAGTGGGTCAAGATCTTTCATCCGGGACCATGGACACCACATGAAGAACATGATGCTCCACCTCCTCCGCATTTTAGAGAATGGAGGGAGTTCTATGCTCCCAACCAGGACTCAGTCGGTGGGCAGGTCCAAGTCACCACGTGGTACAAACGAGACTGGGCCACAGAGGGCTATCGGAGAGTCGCTGCCCCTCACGCTGGTCATGAATTTGATTCCATGTATTTTCCTGATCATCACAGCGTGGCCACGCAGTCTGCGGCATTGAGTATGTCACCGGAGCTGTTAGACGCGATTCTCAGGTCCTCGGATGCGGCTGATTTCTCTACCGAAGAGCTGACTCGTCTCCAGGAGGGGATTTCTCAACAACTGACAGCTCGCGCACGTCAAGCTTCCCAACCTCATCAGCCAGTACGTGCATCGCGTGGAAACACACCATCGGAGACGATTGGGGTCTCCGAGCCCTACCGGCCCGTGAATCCTTCCGACAGCGGCACGGACAAGGCGAGTCCCATCTTCGAGCTGACTGAGGACTAGACTCGCATGAGTGGCGCAGCGTACAAAATAAGGGTGGTCTCTACACTTGCATGATCCTGCTTGGTTGTTGTTTGAACATGGTTGTGCATGGTGCCTGTTCCTCTATTAGCTGGATCGGAGCCCGCGACAATCCTTGCCTCTCACTTCAACATGGACATCGATGATTCGAAGCAGCACCCATGGCTCGAATATTCGGTCTGGCAGGAACAGGAGTGGGTGCGGATATACACTCCAGGACAGCCTCAACGATGGCACCGCGGTGACGCCGTACCTGATCTACCTGAAAATTCTTTTCGGGAATGGCAGCGGGTGACTGATCCCAATGAGCCTGTCCAGGCATGGGACATCCGTGACTGGCAACATCAAGGATACCAGCGCATTCTGTCTCGGATGGAATCCTTCGCAACTCATTATCCGCATGATCAATCTCTTGGTCAAGTTCGGAACTCCGATGCCGGTCCAGTTGAGGAGACGTTCACCTACGCCACTCCGTTTTCTCATGGTGATCGCCAGGCTGCTTCGCAAATCGCTTCAGTCCTCTATGGCGACACTCGCAACGCTCAACGTGGTGATCTCTCGTTCCCGTCTTCTGAGCGGTTTAGGGCTGTGTCTCGCTCCCCTCGCCGTGGTGGATATTTTGGTCAACGTTAGAGATTCGAGTTGGAGCATGTGATCTTCCTGCAGGAAAAGAGAAACCTCGCCCCTCATAGAGGGGCGTGTGTGTGCGGAGTGGCAGAAAACCCTGCCACCAAAACCTTTTTCCGTTGCAACAGGGGGCAGGAGCACCATGGCAAGTCTCCTGCCAAAGAAGACACTTGCCATCGGTGGTGATACTGGGACTGATCATCCCAGCGTACCTGCGCAACTCGCGTGATTCAAAGTCCTTTTGGCCCGCTGTTTCTCTCGCTGTGTGTGCTTCATGTTGAGTTTGTAACGTTTTCGCTGCTAGACGGAAACCAAGTGACTGCAAGCCAAACCTACACCCACTCGAGACTCATCAGTTGTACTCGAGACTCATCAGTTGTACTCGAAAGATTAGCACTCTCCATCTGGAGTTCAAGTGTGTGTGTCTGTGTGTCGGGATTGCTCGGGTGGCTCGGGGAGAAACATGGCGCATTTGCGGCACCTCCGATGACCAGCTGTTGCGCTGTGCGGCGAAACTGTTATGGGTTTGTTGCAATTCAGAAAGTCGGCAGTCCTACGCTTTTTAGGAATGGTTCCAAGAACTATGTAGTCTGAACATCGCTGTATGGTGCAAGGTACATAAACGGGGAGCAACATTTGACTACAAGTTGGCAACCTTCTTTTCCATCGCAAAGCCCTTCGGTTGGATGCTTGGGCACAGTTTGTGCTTTGGCTTCGGGGGAGCAGCCAGGTCGTTTGCCAGCGGGGCGCAGCGGCTATGCCGGCGCTGTGCGCCTTGTCGTGACATCGCCCGTTTGGCGGGACTCCTTCTTCGGGTTCCATGATGTTCCATGTGAATCTGCGGGCGGTGCCTTTTGGACGGATTGATACATTTTGCTTGTCGTTTTGATCGTGTTTGACACGAAACCCAAAGACAACCACCATACACGGGGTTCCCCACTTTGGACAGCCGCATATGCTGCTTGCGGGTGGTCTGTCAGTGCAAGGGATGAAGGGACGCGCCAAATGTAGCAATCACGGACAAGCATTGAGTTTGCGATTCCTTAAGTGTGTATACACATACGCATATATATATATATATATATGGTGCACGTCTTTGATTGGCCTTTTCAAGTCTTGTTCCTTTCTCACCCTGTCATCCTAGGCTGCACCAGCAACTTTCTTATGGCCATGCGGGCTGAGGGCATAGGATCGGGGGAGATTTGACGTCAAAAACCCGCCAAATCTCATTGGTCCCATCCTCAAAGGGTCCATAGGGATAGACAGAGGCGCACATGCACAGCTTTGAGAGGAATTCGCTTTTCTCCTCAACTGTATCAGGACAAATCCAAGGATCTCCCTGCCTAGAGAGCCCTGAGGGGGCAGAAGCCGTGTGGCTGTGGGCCTCCAAGAACAATTGCTTCAAATCAAGGGGCTCACCTTAGGTATTGCTTTGTAGAAGCTTCTTGTCATATTCTGGTCAGGGTGACTTGGCCCTCTTAACTGGGTAGCTGACAAAAGTGCCACCATGACCTATCCAAAGCGGGTCGAGGGGCATATTTTTCTTCTTCCTGAGTTGCTTCAGGAAGAGACGTGCGCTTGCGCGCACTGCCGCGACCCCAGGTTGTTTCGTTGCACTCGGACAGGGCCAAAGTAGGACGGTAAACTTTCCGTAAACCCATCCCTGCAAGAAACAAGCAGCCTCTATTTGCTCCCGCGTTTTGGTTTTTGCCCTGGTTTGAGGGAAGTGGTGAATGGCGGATCGTTCTGCTTTGGCTCCATGGAATCTGAAAGGGAATGTCCTACAAAAAGAAGATGCTGGTCCAGGAACCCGAATATTGGGGAGGGTGGGGACGCTCACAATGCAAGCCAACCGTTTGGAGGGGCAAGCTGCCCCAATGAAACAGGCAAACAGTGCCTGAAGCACATGTTGAGCATCAAGTCTGCTAAAGTCAAGTGACCCGGCAGTGGTGAGTATGATGGCGTCAAGGGAGGCTCTGACAATTGTGAAGCTGAGCGTGTAGATCAATAATGAAGCTAGTGAAAACCGGATGCCGGCGTGAGGACAGATGAAGACGGCCCTTTCGCACGGGTCTTCAAGGGAGTCCCAGAGAGATTTTCCAATTGAAGCTAAATCGCTAGGGGCACAATGGTTCAGTGAGGTTTCTACTCTGAATCGGTTAAGCGGTCTTGAACAAGTCTCAAGGGATGCCCCATGAGCTGGGTTGAGTGGCCGGGAGCACCGCTGCCTGCTGCTGGCTCTTGAGGTTGCGGCGTGGGCTTTTTGGTTTTGGTACCCGTGTCGTGATAAGGGGCAAAACCAAACAAGGGGGGGGGTTCCACATCTCCACATCTCCACATCATGCTATGTTCAAACCATTTTCCATCTATTTTCAACCGTCAGGCGGCCGTCGGGTGCCGCTGTCTGAGTTCCTGGAGAGGGAGCTGCAGAAGCCGGCACAGGCGCAAAGTGGGGGGTGCCCAAGTTCGTTCCCGGCCAAAAACAAAAAAACAACGGCAGATCTGTCCCTTGTCTTGAAGCATGCTTCGGTACTGTTTCTGTCCCCCTCACTTTGGCTTCGATTTCCCTTCGGTTTCCCTACATTTCAGGAACTGAGAGCAACCTTTCTGGCGGTGGAAAGCTGGATACTATAGTGCCTCTTGGCCCAAAGTGCTGGCAAGGGTTGCACCAGTCATGTGGGCGCATGCCCGAGGAGCGCCCCTCCAATTGGTTTTGCTCTGGTGAGCTCTGGAACCCATCAGACGCCCCAGCTTCGACGCCTCCACATGTGGGATTTTTGCCAAGCTTTGGCGTCAGAGCTGGGACGGACTCACACAAAACTGCAGCAGGGGATAAGGGCGGATGTTCCAAGAGTGGAGCCATATGTCCATCATTTTCTCTCTTCTGTTTTGTTGATTTCCCTCCTTTGTCCTTGTAAAGGTTGTCATTTTGCCAGCAACTAGAATCGTTTCAAAAGGATCCGGGAGACGATGTCCGCCCACACAGTCCAGCCACCCAATGATTTTGGGTAGAACCTGTCAGATTGGGCAGAGCTTGTTCAGAGCGCTTTCCAGTGAACTCCATGATGACGATGAACTGAGACGCGCAACTCGTGGGCAACCAGCGACTTTACCAGCTAGGATCGAAGGGATTTTGCAAGGCACGGAATGTGCTACAATGCGACGTTATTTGTTTCATTCGGGAGCAACACAACTGCAACACGAGGTCCTTGTTTTTGCCTCAGAAAAAGCGACAGTTGAGGCTCGCGCATGCAGAGAGTGCACCCTTCCAGAGGCACCGCGTGCGGCACGGGGCACGTAGAGCTCTTTTTTGCTTTTTCATTCCTCTGGTTTCGTGTGCCATTCTGATTTTTGCCGTTGTAAAAATTGGGGTTGTCTGGGACTTGTGATGTTCGAGGTCAGATTTGGAATATGTGAGTGCCGCAGCCTGCTGTTTGGATGTTTCTGTTTTGTCTAGCGTCGCTTGATTTGATCAGAAGGTTGAAGTTCTATTTGGGACATCTCACAGGAGGAAAGAAACATGAGGACTCGCGCCCAACTCAGTCAGTCAGGAGCTGAGCAGTTGGCTTGCTGATTGCTTAGTCAGTGAGTTTATTGGTCGTAAGGCGAGGAGAGGCGCGTGAGTGAGGTGAATGGTGAGTGGGTTAGCTAGTTTGGTTTCGGTTCGTGTTGTGGTGTAGTCAATTTACTCAGTGCAATGGGTTATTTCCAGAGAAATGTAGTTGTGCTCATTTAAATTTACTGTGTTGTGTTGCTTCAACTCTACATCGTTGATGCAGCGTATTGAGTTAAGCTCAGATACCTCAAGTGTGTTGAAGTTCCGCGTTGTCTGCTGAAGCTGATCTGAACGTAGTGTCCTGAGCTAGGGATATGGTGGTCTAGCTCAGTTCAGTTGTTGCTAAGTGTAACTCAGTGGTTTGTTTAGCTTGAAACAGTTTGGCAATATCTACCATCCTTTAAGTGTCAAATTTGTGAGCTTCGCGCAAGCGAAGTGAACGAAGCAAAGCCGCGTAGAGGGAGCGTCGGGAGAAGTGCACAAGCGGAAGAAACAGGGGTTCGATGGTTCACGCATGGGAAGTCCGCGGCGGGAGGTTTGAGCAAATTGAACTACGCATAATGCCAACATCGCGCTCACCCGTTTGAAGCCTGTCAAACACTGCGAAATCACCGGCGACTGCTCCGGGCAAAAGCTTTTGTTCATCTTTCTTCGATCGCATTGCTGCTTGATAGCTGGTAACGCGTACATATGGCCACAGCATGGCGGACGCAGTTGCCGTGAGGTCCAGGTCTTGGTGAATGCAGACTGATGCCATAACTGTTTGAAGCAGCGACAGAAATGCACAGCCAATAGATACGAAACCACACGAAATGGGACGGCCAACACCAGGAATGCCGCCAGGGCCGCGCTGCAGAGCTTTCAGAGGTGCCGCGCAGGGGGCCTTGGACATTGGTCTCCGAGGGCGGCGCTTGAGAAAAAAGCTATGATCGGTCCGATTCAGAAACTACCCCTAATTCAGAAACTAGGACTCAGAATCTGCGCTTCAGACTATTTCGCACCATTCAGAACCTGTTTCTGGGAGCGATTTAGAAAGTATTCCTGCGCGAATCTGGAACTCTTGTGGTGCCCACGCTCAAAACTGCTCGCCGCCTGATAAGCACAGCTGCTCAAGAGCTCCCTCTCCGCACTGCACACACACACACAGACACAGACACACACACACACACACACACGCCTGCCAAATAATAAGTACACCCGCTTCAGAGAACTGCGTGCACGCCTTCAAAACGAAAAGCACACGCTCAGAACTGCACACGCACACTCACACGCACAAGCCCCCGCAGAAAGGGACGCACCCGCGCCAGCGTCCCGCGCGTGCAAGCCTACGCGCACGCGCACGTTCCCAAGAGCGCACCCGCGTGCGCAAACGCGCAGACCCAAACAAATACACACACACACACAAACACACAAGCACGCACACAGACACAACAAACGCACACACACACACACACCTACGCCCACACCCACACCCAGACCCACACCCCCACCCACACCCACACGCAAACGCACTCGCACACGCCCACGCGCACGCACCCACCCACCCACCCACCCACCCACACACACACACACACCCACACCCACACCCACACCCACACCCACACCCACACCCACACGCACACCCACTCGCACACGCACACGCACACGCACACGCACACGCACACGCACACGCACACGCACACGCAAACGCACACGCACACGCACACGCACACGCACACGCACACGCACACGCACACGCACACGCACCACGCACCACGCACACACGCACACACGCACACACGCACACACGCACACACGCACACACGCAAACACGCACACACGCACACACGCACACACGCACACGCCCACGCCCACGCCCACGCCCACGCCCACGCGCACGCGCACGCGCACGCGCACGCGCACGCGCACGCGCACGCGCACGCGCACGCGCACGCACACGCACACGCACACGGACACGCACACGCCCACGCACACGCACACGCCCACGCCCACGCGCACGCGCACGCGCACGCGCTCGCACACGCACACGCACACGCACAAGCACACGCACACGCACAAGCACACGCACACGCACACGCCAACGCACACACACAGACACGCGCACACTGACACATGCACAAAGACACCACATCGACACACCACAAAGACACACAAACACACAAACACATACACACACACATACACAAACACACCAACACGCACAAGCACAACACAAACACACACACACACACATACACAAACACACACACACAAGCACACACACAAACACAAACAAAGACACACACACGCACAAACAAAGACACACACACACACAGACCAGCATTCAAACACACACACAGACAAACACACAAACACACACACACACACACATGCAAACACACACACACACGCACACAAACACACAAACACACACAAACGAACACAGACAAGCATACACACAAACACACACACACACCAGGACACACACACACACAGACACAGACACTTACAGAGCGAGGCGCGCTCGCTTTCCAGCCAAGCACGGCTTGGATGCAGAAATTCGAGAAACCGAATCAAAGGACATCAAACAGCGACATCAGGTCAACAGTTTAGGTTGGCAAGTACGTGCAAGCTGGCCCGGCTTGCAAATCATTTTCTCAAATGGGTGTTCGTTGGTAGCGGGCTCATGTGATCTGCTGCTACCCCCAGCAATAATTTTCGTGCATCAACCAGCACGGTGCACACACGCACGCACACACACACCCCAAAGCGCACACGCTCTAGCACGCATATATATATATACACACACACACACTCAGGCGCGCACGCGCGTGCGCAACACGCACAGACACAAACACAGAAACCCACACACCCCCACACACCTCCAAGTACCCCCACACACACGCCCAACTTGCCCACACTCGCACACACGCGCACACACACACACACACGCACGCACACAGGCACACAGGCACACACGCACAGACGAACACTAAACACACACACACACCCACACACACACACACGCAAAGAAGCGCGCACGCACATACACACAGACACACACACACACACCTCTCACACACCAGGACGCACACTCACACACACATACACCAAAAAGACACCAACACACAAACAAACATGCAAACACACAAATAAGCATAGAAACGCACAAACACTCACGCACGCACGCGCCCGTGGTGTACTCACGCACGCACGCACGCACGCACGTGCAAGCAGATATCGACGCAGGATTTGCTGAATGCGTGGCTAGGCTGAGGCCCGCGAGCCTTGAAGAAGGACGGGACTGTCCCCCGCTTGATCTGCGATGGTTGAATCAGCAACGCCAACGGCTTTTAGCCTTGGAGGAGCTGCCGCAGCAGTTTAGCCTGGACGTGAGCAAGGCTCACAAGCGCGCCAAAGTCTGACCACACACAAACGCCCCAGAACCACACGCGCCACGAACACATGCGCTCACAGACGCACACACACACACACAGACACCGCACCACAAACACAAGCACCCGCGCCCGCGCGAAACACACACACACACACGCCACACGCAACCCACCGCACACTCACACACACACACACACTCACCACACACACACGCACCACGCGCACGCAGACGCACCACAAACACACACACACACACACACACACACGCCACACACACACACTCCAACACACGCCATACACCCATGCTCACCACACACACACACGTGCACACACACACACACACGCCACACGCGCAGGACACACACACAGACACACACACACACACACACACACGCGCGCCAGACGTCACACAGAGACATTGCACTCGCGCACAAACGCACACAAACGTGCGCCGTACACCACGCGCACAACACACACACACCAGGCGCACGCACAAACTCCCACACAATCACAAGTACACACCCAAGCGCAAACACAAACGCACGAAGCAGAAACACAGACACAAAACAAGCAGAAACGCAACATATACACAACCACACAACCACACACAAACACACGAACACATAGACACCCCCCCCCCTGCCACACACACACGCACACCCGCACACACACACACACACGCACACACACACACACACACGCACACACACACACAAACACAAAACAAACTTGCGCGCGCACAGGCCAGGCACACACGCACACACGCGCGCGCGCAGGCGCACACACACACAAGCGCTCAGATGCACACAGGCGCACAGGCGCACACGCGCGCAGGCGCACACGGGCACGCGCCACGCACACACACGTACAATCGGACACGCGCTTACTTTCAGACGCCCGAGAACGCACACACGCACACCCACGCGCATGCGCGCACACACACACACACTCACACAGACACGTGGAGACGTGCAGACACACTTACACACCCACACGCACACAGAACACACACACACACAGACATGCGCTCGCACGCAGACACGCAGACACGCACTTACGCGCACACACACCAGCACACACACAAACACACTTACCAACACACACACAAACACCAACACACACACACAAACACGCACACCAACACACACACACACACGCAGCAACACACACACACACACAGCAACACACACACACACACGCACACACGCACGCTCACACACACACAAACACACACACACAGACACAAAACAAACAAACACACAAACACATACAATCACACACACACATACGCAAACACGCACGCACGCACTCGCACAAGCACACGCACACGCACACACACACACACACGCACACACGCACACACCACACACCACACACCACACACACACACACCACACACACACACACACCACACACCACACACCACACACCACACACCGCGCACCAACACACCGCGGAGCAACACACCACACACACACACACCACACACACACCACACACACACCACACACACACACCACACACACATTACACGCGCACGCACACAGACACACGCACGCACGCACGCACGCACGCACGCACGCACCGCACCGCACCGCACCGCACCGCACCGCACCGCACCGCACGCACGCACGCACGCACGCCCACCCACCCACCCACCCACGCCCACACACACACACACACACACGCACACACGCACACACGCACACACGCACACACACACACACACACGCACACACACACACA